ATATATTTTCCAATATTTTCTTTAAACTTCTTACTAATGAATATTTTCTACATCATTTTCCGTTAAGAGAATTCAATAATTTTGCCAGTGCAGCACTGTCATTTGGCCTTAAATGCATTGCCGGCTAATTAGGCTGAGTGAGTAAGGACAATTGTCGGACGACAAGTGCATTGGGTTAGGCTACGATTATTAATTGGGGGCCAGGAGACAGGACAGGAGAGCACTTTGCACTCGATTAGCGTATGGCAGATTTCGCATGAGTTGAGTATGACTTGAATTGGCTGCTCAGGTTGCCCTGTCTCGATGTCTCCATGCTGGGAACAAGGACATAAAGGATCCTAATCAAGTCGCTTTGTATGCGGCCATTGTGGCATAAAGTTTCAGGTTTCGTGCGTCTTATGGCCAATTAAGCAGGCCGCAAAAAGCCCTAGGATCGGATTCAGATTCACGAAACATGGCTAATTTACGAAAATGTTGCAGATATTAATGCGATTTTCAGTTTAAATACGGTTTATGGCCCACAGAAACACACACACTCGCAGACACTCGCAGGCAGGAAAAACCTAATTAATTTAATTTGATATATTCGCCGCGCTGGAAAGGAAAACAAATTGTGAATCAACAAAAGGAGCCAACCAGAGCGACTAAGCCTGAAATCAACAATAATTGGAATTTAAACTTAACTTTATTTAGCAAACTAAAAAGCAGAAGCCATTAGCTTTGGATAATTTTAGTAATAAAACGTAATAGTTATAAGGTTCTAAAATCTGTTTAGTAGGAAGTAAAATTTCAAGTATATGCCATGAAAATGAGCGATCTGACAGAAGTAGAAATAAAGTTCCAGACAACCTTTAAAAGGGTTCTAAAAACCAGATGCAGGTAGCAGTATTAAAACATTTTAAAACCAAAAACAGAAGCTAACCAAGATAACATTTCCCAACAAGCACCTACTTAATAACAGCAATAATGTTTTGCCAGGTAAATACCCTCAAGGTGTAATGAAATTTTGCAAACTTAAGAAGACCAAAAACATTTCCCTATTGTCTTAATGCTATGCTTAATTAATCCTAAGCTGATTAACCAACAAATGGCGATGTTTCAGATGTTACAAGATGAGGGAGAGAAAGAGAGTTTTGGGGTGTTTTAAGCCGATTGCGTTCTTCTGCTTAATGTGATTAGAACCCTAATTGGTTCAATCAAAGTGTCTTCAGAGTTAATTAAATGCTCTTCTCCGAGAGCTGAGAACCTTTCAAAACAAATCCCAATAATCGTTGAAATAATTACCTATCCCAGCCGACCAAAACTCACATGCGATGCGAGCCTCAGAGATTGACTCTCTCTCTCTCTATGTCTGACAGAAAGTTTTCCGAGGGGGCGGGGGGCGGTCCAAAAAGGCGTTGATTGTTTAAGTACTTAAACGTGTTCCCGTTAATGAGCTGCGAAATAATTCATAAAATGCCAAAAAGGCTGAGCAGAGCTCCTTTTAACTTCCCCCCTGGCCTTCGGCACTTCAAAAATATTCCTGAGCTCAGAAAAATGTGCGAGTATTTACTTAATCTGTCTCCTTTGGCGGGGCTTCCCCTGCGCCGTCTGCGAGTCACACAATGAGAAATGCTTTTATTTACTTTTGATTATCTGCTTATGGACAGCACAACAACAACAAGGCAGCCAGCGGGCAGCACTCAGCAGGCAGCAGTCAGTAGTCAGCAGGAAAAACGTTGGAAAAGCGGTTGGAAAAACAGCAGACAAACAGGCAGGCAAAAAAAAACTGCAGGAAACACACACAAAAAAAGACCATTTAGATTAGCAAAATGCAGCAGTTGCCATGAATTCAGTGGCTGTGAATTGCGCCAACAATGAAAGTTACTGCCAGGGAAAACTTTCATAAGAGCAGAATTCGTTTCACGCTAATAAATATAAATGTTACCAAAATTAAAGTCCAGTTATGGATTTTTGCTAACTTTTTAGTACTTTTTAGCTGGCTTAATTAGTGGCTTAAGTAATCTGTGATTTATTGATAAGCTGTGGGTAAAAATGTAAAACAAAATATGATGTTTAGGATTTACATCCTTTAGAAATAACAGCAAAGATCGGTTGATTGGACCATCAACATCGAACGCAGTTTCCTTAAAGCACAAATCCCACAAGAAAAGGCAGTGGGAGGTGACAAAAGGCCATCAGGAAGGCGACAACAAGCAAGCAAACAAACTAGCAAACAAACAACATAACAAACAGGGAGGCAAACATACAAGCAAACGGGAAACAAACGGTTTATGGCCAGGTTTAAATATGGACCATATGGACGGCGGTGATGATGCTAACCAAAAAGCGAGGGTGGTTCCCTCACTTCTCCAATTCCAGCACTTCGAACTTTGCAAGCCAACCGCTTTATGGGTTTTGCCCTTTTTATTCGGCTGTCAACGCTGCCTGTCGCGGTTGTAAAATCAGCGAAATGTTAGCACTCAGCCAAAAATAAACAAAAAGTATCTGGACGGAATTAGCCAGGGTCGAGAGCGCAGATACTGAGTATGTGCAATGAAAAGGTCAGAAATGTTAACGAAGTTCTGCAGAATGAAAACATATTCTGCTGTGGCTTGAAAAGGTCAGAGCTCTGTCTAAAAAAGTGATTTGATTTTGCAGATTATAGTTTAAGGATTATTTTACTGATAAAAACATGGAAGATTTGGCAGATTTTACATATTTAATAAATCCTCTAAATATCAAATATAGTTTTGGCTTATACAGTTTAGTTTTAGTTAGCTAATATTGATATTATGTTATATTAATCTTAACCGAAAGGAATACAAGTCTATCTCTTACATGAATATCCCGTTTTTATCCATTTCACATCATCGAATCTACCCCTGACTTCGATCCATAAGGGGTACCACAAACAAAAGCCGCACCTGTACCGCACACTCACATGCATATGCCGCACACCCGCACACCCGCACACCTGCCATAAGCCACGTGCCACACACAAACACCCTTATCGGGCTATAATTTATGGCTAAACGGATGCAGCAAAAGCAAAACCAAAAGCAAAGGCAACAGCAAAAGCAAAGGCAAAGAGTGAAAAGTGTTACCTTTGGCCGGCGGCTATTTAAAGTGCAAACGCATCGCTTCGAGTGGCTTCGATCTCATCGGAATGATGAAGTGCCTGGCAGTCGATGGTGCAACAAGTCAGAGGAGGTGAAGGACTTCGACTCCTCTTTCAACTCCTCCCTCTCCCTTCCCAATCCATTTCCACTTCCACAAAAAGAGACACATTCGAATGTGTGGCACTTGCAATTATTGTATTACTATCATGTGCTTGTGCGAATTTAATTGCTTTTCAATGGATGGGGAATAGCAGCAGAGGGGGGGGTGGCTAAGCATATTGACATGCAAAAATGAATAGCATACATTTGTGGAGGAGCTGGCGACCCACACTGCGTATGAGTAATGCAATTGCTTGCCAGCCGGATTACTCATACGCCGTGTGGGCATGTATGTGTGTGTGTGTGTGTGGCATACATACATTTTGTGATTTCCACAAAATTACATTTTGCAGTTACAAGTGGTATAAATAAATTTAACGTTTCGAAATGTTTGTCGGTGCGGTCAGACCGCCTTTTTTCACCCACCCACTTTGCCACCCAACCCCTCCCACTTACCCTCTCCCCAAAAATGTTTGTGTGACTTTTGTGTAGCTGTTAAGTGGCAAAGCACACACAAACACACACACTCACGCTGTTAACTACATTTAAATTGCAATTTTCGCAAAGCAAACCAAACATTTCGGACGACATATCATGGCTGAGATGAATCTGATATATATATACATTTATATCTATATAGATATTCGATTCGCAATTGACAACTTGATAGTGGCATATATAATAAGAGATTCCCCTAAATTGCTTATGTTATCACAGACGATTTGGCATTTGTTAGTTTGCCAATTTCCAGCATAGAAATTATTTGGAAAATCTCTGATTAAAATCCGAGAGCCTCGACTGAATTTCATTGGTTATCAAGATACGATTCTGGAATTTGTCTAGCCTGAAAATGATTTAATATTGAAGTATGCAGCACAGGGGAATGCCATCCTGTTTGTGTCCTAAGGTGAGGCTTCAGCCCGTTCCATGACCAAAAATTATATATTTATCAGTGGTCGAAATAATAAACAAACACACAAATCGCTCTAGCTGTGAGAAGTTGACACTTCCCGATACTCTTTGGGCTTAGAGAGTGTGTACTTTTAGCTGCCCCTTAAGTGTTCAATTTTTTAAGACTGGCAAATAATATTCAAATTAAAGAAGAAAGTTCATAGGCAGTTGGTTAAATTTTTATGATTTTCAAGGCAAATCAAGTTCTTGTCTTTAAGAAACATTAAGTATAAAAGGAAAGACACAAAAATACACATTTTCGACTTCATCTTTATCATTTCTTGTACTTAAAAAATCCCTAAACTATATACTTTAACTTTACCAAGCTTAGTATCTACTTAACATACGCAAACTAAACCGTTTACCTCTTAACAATTTCCTCGGTACTCTTGGATTTGGTAATTATAATAAATAATAAATGCACCTGCTAGAGCAGACTTTCCACTTGAAAATAATAGCTATATAGTCTTTGCTACTCAGGAATACAAAGTGCTTGATTCAATTACCCACACTCCGTTGTCTTCATGGCTAATAGCTGATAGCTGATAGCTGATTTCCCCGTACACTTATGGCCAAGTTTTCCAATCAAATTAAATATACTTGCGGCTAAAAGCTTGAAATTGGCGCAGCCAAACACTCAATTGTTTTGTGACCACTTAGAGCACTCAAATTGCTTTTCTGGCTGCACGTGAACGTCTCTGTGGAGTGTGGCAGGCTAATTTCCATTTTGCCAGTGCCACAGGAAACGAAAGTGATTGAGTCATCTGGCGATTGGGGACTTTCAGTGGTCAGCCCCCTTCGGAGAGACAAACCTCTTCCCAAAAAAAAGAAAAACCATCTCTCACTTACCATCAGCATAGGCGCCAAAACCAAAGTCCTTGTCGGGTCGCGTTCCGCTGTCGTCTTCGATGTCCGATGGTTGCTGATGGCGTTGCTGCAACGGCAACTTTTGCTCCTGCTGCTGCTGCTGCATGTCCTTTCCCGCTTTCGTTGCGGAAATGGCGTCATTTCCGGCTGCCAGGGTTACAGTCAGGCCCAAAAGCAAAGCCACCAGCGACAATGTCTTGGAGCATTTGGGCTTGGGATTGCGGTATCGGCGGCTCTGCGCCGCCATTCCGCCCACTAATTGCACGCACACGGAAGCGGAAATAACACTCGGCTCGCCGGGGGATTACCGTACTGTTTCTGTGCGTCTGCACTTGGGGTAGAGGATCTCCTTCTCCTTCTCGCCTCCTTGCAACAAAAAAAAAAAAACGGTGATAAAAAAAACACACCACACACTATCGAATCGGCCGCTGGAAGCTGGCTAATAAACTCGGTTGGCTCAGTCTCAGTTTCAGATTTTGGATTTCACTAGCTTAGTACGCGTAATTCGGAAGCCGGTCACGAAGGATTCGATTTGTCGGGATTTTTTGGTTGGATCCGTTGGAGAGCCGCTAGGACCTGCTGCCTGGCCAACGTGCGAGGCGCAATTGAGCCACCAAATGCGCTGCCATACACTCATATAGCCTTGTCAGTCGACAGTTGCCAACTTGCAACATGCCGCACACGCCAGGAGCCGAACTTCTGTTTTGGTGAATGGACTCGGCATCGGCGAATTCCGAGTCCCATTCCAAATCCGAGTTCCGAGTCCAGTGTCGCCCGACGCCTGCGCCGTTTTCAGAATCACAAAATCTGAAAAGTTGAAGGGGCAACGTGGCCAAAAGGTGCAGAAAGGCGGCAGTTGCAGAGCCAGAAGTCAGTTGCAGTTCATTTGCTTGGCTACGTGACGCGAGTTTTTCGGTTTCGGTTCTTCCGTTTTCTTTTTTGGGTAGGGGGGGGCAAAGGGTGTCCCTTTGACTCCATGAAAATAGGCAGCAGGAACATGGACTTCCCGGCGAAAACGGGATAATGGATAATGGTTAATGGGCATTGGCATTGGCAAATCGAAATCGCAGGATGGTGTTTTTCGAAATCGTTTTTATTGTCTACACAACTGTTGCTGTTAGCTTTGAGTGCCCAAGAATTTGTCGATCATTTCGTTTGGCTCTTGATTCATAAAACTACTTGCTTTAGCTTAGGGAAAAGTTGTTGATTATCTTTTCAGTCATTATGGGAGTTAGCTATGGAGTAGATATGGAAAAAGTGGTTGGGTAAGGGTTCTAGTATAAGCTTAACGCGGAATGATAAAACCTTCTTGGGGACAGAATTACTAGAAATGTAAAGGCACTTTTAAATAAAACAAAGTATTTGTTTAAAAATCTTACATAAAGGCTAACGTATGTTAAACATTTAGTAGGGAAAAATCTTTTATTTCCATTTTAAGTTTCACAAATATTTTATTGGTTAAGTTTTTGAGTTTCCTCTGCAAGGCTTAGCATTCTTAGTTTGATTTTTGAATAAATTATAGAATAAAGGTTTCTTTACTCAAAGTTTAAAGGAGGCATATTATGGTTATGTTTAAGAACCTTATGAAGTTTATAGTTTAGTTCACTATCAGTTAGTATAGCAGCCTAAATGTATGCTATTCATTTTTGCCCAACTCTTTTAAGCAGATCTTGGAAAAGTTCTTCAAGGTTTCCCTTAACTTTTTACCCAAAATCTTAATCAATTTTCAACCATTTCTAGGTATAAAAAATATAAACATAAATATAAAATAATACAAGAGCATTTGACCCTGCGACTTGTCAAAAATTGAAGTTGCATTGTTGTTTGGCAGTTATTGCAGCTGCTGGCGTTTTTGTTGCCTGTTGGCCGTTGATAGTTGCTGGTTGCCAGTTGCTAGTTGCAACAGCAACTGTTGCAGCTGTAAACCATGACCTGTGGCCCCGCGGATCAAGAACAGTTAGCCATTATTGCTACTGCCGTTGCAGTTACTGTTGCTGTTGGTCCAGCCTTTTGGGCCACGATTACGGACAGTGATGTTGCTGCTGGGCTTAACTGTTGCTGTCGGTTCCTGTGCGTCGATTTGCATCCCAATTGCAATTGCAATTGCAATTTTGCAATTTGCCATTCGAATTCGACATTCGCGAAACAGCCTTTCCCTCCCAGCCCCAGTCCCTGCGCCGTTTCTTCCGCTCTTAATTAAAACATTTTGCAGTTGATTTGCGCGGCTGTGTGGTAATTTGATTAGCGCCCGCCCCTTCTGGGAGTTGCATCTGTGTCTGGTGTTGCAGCTGCGTTAACGACTCGCCGACGACCCGCAAATATCCACGAAATATCCGTAAATATCCGCAGCAGAATACGGAGCTTACGGGAAAAAACATCGAAATTTTCCAGAACAGGCAGTGTTACTGCCGGAACGGCGGGATAAAATACAAAGGTAGAGCACCGCCGACGATGGGTTATTGATAACCAACAGCAATTTTCATCTGCAAATAATCAAATCAGTCGATGAAAAGTGGAAAATATTTGTGAATGCCCTGAGTTGCAGGTAAGGAAGGTAATGTGCTTTAGGAAAATGCTATCCCTAAATGGCCAGAAATATATATTAATAAATATGAATATTATTATATATATTTAGTTAGTTAGGCAAATTAATTATGTAAGGAAGCAGAACAAAAAGAAGTCTTTAAAAAAAACTCCACTTTTATGAAATCCCTTGAGCCAGCTTTAATACCCAAAACTGACCGGCTCTCCCATGTATAAACCACTTTTTTGTGTATTTTTTTAGATTTGCAGTTGACACAAAATAATCCCCTGTGGCTTATATAGTTTTAGAAAGTTACATTCGGATTGTATTTGAAATTTAAACGTAATTTTAGCGCGCCGAAAATTTGATTTAAAATGTTTGTCTTTTTTTAGCATACTTTTCGGCTGCATTTACTTTTTGCCACTTTCCCTACAATTTCTAAGCCCTCTCATTGTTCGTGCTCATTTGTTTATGATATTCTGAAAATATTTTTCAGGATTTAAGAAAAAATCTGACTTCTCAAAATAAGAATAAAGAATAAAGAATAATTTGTAGTGTTTAACTAACAGAAGGCATCTTGTTCTTTTTTCAACTTCGACCTCGACGGGGTATAAAATTTCAAACAAGGCCAGAAGAAGACAATTTACCAGGCCAATTTTGTTGCTCACAAACAGTAAAAAGAAGCTTGGTTTGATCGAACATTATCGATATATATATATATATATAGAATATATATCGAATATTCTCTTTGGTCGATACATATCGTTTAAAAATATCTAATGAAATTCATGGTAGGAAAATAACGGAATGATCAAACTAAACCTAAACAAAGAGTAACATACAAAAAGTAAATTCCTTTGCAAAACCTCTTCAAGCTCACATAAATGTGATATTAACCAACTCTATAAATATATCGAGTTAGCGTGTCACCACTTTGATTATCGAATAGAACATTCTACTTACATTTGTCAACCAGTTCGGTCGTATTTCCCATTAGTCAGAAATGCAAACTGAAATAGGCAAGTCATGAACAAACATTTATAGTTGTAACAAAAAGGGATCTACAAAATTTGGTTAGATTCTCAGAACTTTGTGTTGCTTTACCATAACTTATTAAACTCAAACTAATCTCGTCATTCAGCTGGCTGTTCCGTAATCTTACCACATTGGAACTACTCAGATGACTCTTTGAGGTCTAGATCAGTGCTCCTGGTGTCTACAATAAGACTTTTGGAGTACTCCCGGAAAAACATCAATTGACAGGTGCCCAATTTCTTAAGCGTGTTATTTTGTAGAATGCCATGTTTTCGAAATTGGGCATCTTCCAGTTGATCACCGATGTATGATTTTCCAGGGGTACAACAAATGTTGCCGACACAGAGATCACAGCGTTAGTCCTCATAAGATGCCTACGCTTCGATACTTTACGTTCTAATTGGTAATCATGTAAGTCTAGTGGTAAGTAGCACATACCTTTAGCTTGGTATTTCTTAGTAATTGACTTCTGACCCTACTGTATTCTTCAAACAGCTGCGCAAATCCCATTCCATCAACGTTTCTTCGTTAAGCCAGAAGGGATTCAATCTGACCCGACGTTGTTCTGACCAAAAAAGCAGCTCTCCTCTTGGTAATTGGAAGCCTGGGCTTTTGGAGTCAGATTTGCTCACCAACTCGGAGCCACTTTAAACGAAATCTTATTCCTAATTGGTAAGTCTCGTTGTCTAGTCGTAGTGTCATTATGGCTATTACTTGACTGTTCGTTCTGGTTTTAGGGCTATAAGAGAGCCTGGACCAAACTATCAAACTAATATCGTCATTCAGCTGGCTGTTCCGTAAGCTCACCACATTGGAACTACACAGATGACTCTTTGAGGTCTAGATCAGTGCTCTTGGTGTCGACAATAAGACTTTTGGAGTACTCCCGGAAAATCATCAATTGACAGGTGTCCATTAAACGAAATCTCATTCCTAATTGGTAAGTCTCGTTGTCAAGTCGTAGTGTCATTACTGATATTATTTAGCCTTTTTCGTTCTGGTTTTATGGTCTAGAAGAGAGTCTGGACCATCATGATCCTTTTTCATTAGGTGTTGACTAAAAATCAAGGGCTCTTTCTGACTGTTACAAAAGGTTATTGGATCTTCAAGAGCTCGATGCAAATCAGAAGTAAATAATAAAAGACATTACTTTCAGCGTATTTGCCAAAGATTCATTTATGCTAACAAAAATTAAGATTATTAACTAAATAAAAGGAAGCTTAGCTTAAAAGTATAATTATTATTACTATAAGATCTGCTTAACTTTTACAAAAGTTGTGACTCCTGAAATTTAATGGCAGGCGGAAAAACAAAAGTCCAGCCAGCAGCAAGATAATCTAATTAAAGGGGCCAACTTATTGGGGCGGAGTGCTGTTGGCAGCTCATTTTCATTGTTTTCCCATTACATATTATTATTATTATTATTATTATTTTTATTGTTATTACGGCAGCAGCGGCAGTAATAAACTGACGCGTGGACAAAGCGGCATATACTTGATGGGAATGTGGCACAGCTCCCACATCATTCCAAACTTGGTCATAATGCTCTTATGGCCATAATTGTTGTTGCGGCATCCTGACCCGACTAATTGTCGAGCTCTGCTTTTTGTTCAAGGCCCCGCAGTTCTGGCCAGTCAATCCGACGTGGTGGGCTTCCAGTTTTTGGCCCATTCGAAGGCCAGGTTAGCAGTGCAGGCAGGCTGCATCCCACGGGGCGCTAATTGAATTCGCTGCCACCGCTGGCCAATTGCAGGCCAAAAATTGAACAAAGCTCCGCAAAGCACTGAAATAGGCAGAAACCTCGAAAACAAAAAGCCCAACTGGAAGCCAAACAACAGGAGATGATTTCAATTTTGGGATACCCTTTGGTAAGGGGTGAATAATCTCTTAGGGAAATATGTGGTTTCATTTGTTTTTAACTTTTATTTAATATATTAGAGTCCTAAAAGCTCTTACGAAGGAGTCTCACAGTGTTGAGTACAGAAGTTACATTTCCATTGCATACTTTTAGACGCATTTCATTTTAACAGTTTTTAACACTTTTTTCATTTTATAAATAATAAATTTGTAATATATATTTTAAACTAAAATAGACTAAAAATCATTTTCCCAATTGATAAATATATTAAAAAAAATATTTAGTTTTTTTTAAACTTGCTCAAGCTGCCACATATGTAGGTAGCAGTATACCTGTTAATTCTGAATAAATGTAACCTGTTAAAAAAAAAAAGAACAAAAATGAGTTTAGATTATTAAAATATTATTTTATCCAGATCTACGATTAAACATTAACCCATAAAGTGAAAAACGTAAACCAAGCCTAATACCCTTTCTTTGCTGGGTATCAAAAACGAGCAGCATCAACAACAATCCGCTCTTGGTGGCAGGATGTGCGAGCCAGAGTGATGATGAGGCAATTTGTTTAGGCCAGTTATGCATCATTTGGATGAAGGGGTGCTGTATGGAAATGGTGTTGGATAGGGTTCGAGGGATGGACGAAGGACGTTGGGTTTAGGTAGGCAATTCGATTTGACGGCGCACAATTTCCGGCCGTGCTCGAGCTCCGTTACTCATTACAAGCGAATAAACCCCGAGTCGTCCTTGTGGCGGTCAGAAGCGTGCCGCCCACTCAGGTTTATTCACACACGGAAAACTTTCACAATTAGCGGCCGGATTCCGGCAACGATACTGGAGGCTATATCCGGACTACCGCCAGCAGCAATTGCCAGTGGGATAATGTGCACCCAAGAAGATCTCGCAGGCGGAGCAGTAATGATTCGTCGTCCGGCAGCCGTTCCATAAGTATGGACACAAGCAAGCGCAGCAGCACCAACTGGAAGGGAAAGGATATATGAGATTTTTGGGTGGATATAATGGTACTTTAAGGTTTCTAGTGGTTTATTAATGTAGATGCTTAGTACTTCGTTATAGTTGTCTTTTTAAAACGATTTCAAGTTACTTAATGGTAATCCTATCTAAAATGAGTAGTGGGTTATGTTAGTAATTGGGCAAATATGTTAATATAGAGAAAGAAAAAGGATAATCAAACTAAATTCGATCTGTTTGGCTTGTAAAATATATCCTTTCCTAACATCAAATGAACAAAAGTGATAATGTTAGAAATTGTTGCGATAAATAGTGAACTGCTCCCGCGGCATCTGGCAACGCTGAACCAAAATAATCGATAGTTATAAGCCCGGATCTCTGTTAAGTTGTAAGTTCTGTTAAGTTAGACGTTAACCACGCGCCAAAGATTTCGGTATACCATCACTAATTAAACTACCAACTTTGGTTAACGATTTTAAGCTAAATGTTAGTTCAAGAGGAATAACTTGATAACAAATTACGTTACTGTACTAACCCGAAAGTGCACAGCCGGAGGGCCCATGTGTTGGTCCGAGAATTGGGTGACCTCTTCAAGCGTGTTAGCCCCCGTTGACCGCAAGCTGGACACACGATGATCATCGCCTGGTTGCCCAATTTGGGTTGAGGGGTAAGGATAAAGAAATCTGTAAATTAAATATATAAAATAAGGTATAAAAAGAAATTTAATCGAAGAACCACACTCACTTCGCACAGGAGGCGATGAGGGCAAGCTCGGAATCTGGTTGCTGACCGCTAAGCCTGACATTTGCGAACTGTCCTCATCCGCCAAATGGGGCATCTCATCCAGGCAATCTCTTAGATGTTGTGGCTCCGCGAAAAAGGTGCGTCCACGATCGGCGGAGTCTCCAAAGCTGGAGGGCGTGGCCATGGCATCATCATAGGTAGGCGGTTCCGAGGGCGACAAAGACAAAGATCGCTGCTTGTGAAGATCCTGACTGGGATCCTGACCTTGGTACAACATGCGGTGCTTCTCCTCGGCCATTGCAAGCTCTTCTGCTTTGCCACATTCGCCCTTCGATGGCTTATATTCTCTGGTAGAAAAAACGAACAGCAGAAAGCAGGCCAAGAGAGAAAAACAGTTGTTGATAAACTAACATTACGGACCAATTAGGCGGCTGCCAGCGATGTCACCAGTCAGCCAGAGCAATGGAAAAGTGGTCAGTGGGCGAGAGAGAAGAGCCTGGAATGGAAATGGTCTGCTGTCCGTATTCCCCACTGCTGAATCACCGCCATTCTCGTCGTCGGAGAATATTGTCAGCTTCCGATTCATTTCCTGTTCATAACTTTTTCAATATGTGCTGCTAACCGTAGGCACTGGAAGAAAACTGTATACCTTTCAGTATTTTGAGTCTTTCTTTCTATGTACAAGTTTATGATAGTTCTCTGTGTGATTTCTATTTTCTATATATCAGATTGTATTATGTTTCTCTCTTTCTTTTGGTACAAAGACTTATTTTAGGTTTAACCATCTGATTTTCTAGTTCAGTAATCATTTTATTAACTCATACTTTACCTTCTTCTGATTTAAAAACAAAGCAAATACCAAAATCTCCCAGTGTTGGTTTTTTCCCTCCTTGACTTTTCTGCCTCCTGTTTGTGTTTGTGCGGATCCCCCAGCTTGTTGTTCTGTTTACCTTCAAGTTTTTCAATATTTTGCCTGCGCAAGGTGGAGGAAGGGAAAATGGGAATGAAATTCCATTTGCCACTTTGCATTTAATCAACTTTATCGCATGCATGTAAATCGTATGCAGGCGCAAATAAACTAAACAGGTGGAGGTGGAAATTATAATGGAAACTCTCATTTGCATATGAATAACTGACATCCCTCGATTAGGGCTAAGTTGGCCCTTAAAAAATATTTGATTAGCATGACGAAACAGTGAATTAAATATGTTACGTTGTATAGAACCTTATATAGGTATTAAAATGAGGATAAAATACTTGTTTCTATTTTTTAGATATTAATATTAGTAAAGTGTTTTCCCTCTTTTCGTACTTTCTAAATATTTGTTCATATTAACTTCCTTATTTGTTTAACAAATCCTGACAGGAAACCCTGTCCTTCTATATAGCGAATTCCAGGGTGTGGCAGCCTCTGATTTGTTTGCCCCTGTTGTTCCGCCATCTGCCATTGAAATGGGGATCGGGTTTTTGGGATCGGGCACTGAGAGCTGTCGCTGCATAAATTTGCAGTCCATTTCAAGTTGGCTCATCGCTTTGATGTTTGATTTATTGCACGCTGTCGGGGGTTAAGGGGGCCGAAAAGGGGTTAAGGGAATGGTGTTGGGGGGGTGTCAGGCTGAAGTGGGTGGAGTGCCATAGAGTGGGCTTATCAGCCGACATGCCAGACAATTGTGAATGGCAACTGCAATTGGAATTGACAGTGGCGGAGTGGCAAGCGATTGAATGGGGGGAGGAGCAGGGTAGGGTTACCTGGTGGCAGGATATCAGGTGCTGACTTGAAAAAGCAAATAAATGGATGAGACTGGCAAACAATCCTGTGATGGTCTCGCATCCCATTATGGATTCAGACCTTGTTGTTCTCCTGCCTATTTATGCATTCTGAAGGTCAGAAATGGAAGCAAAAATGGGACAACCCAGAATGAAATGGGTTAAGGTTATGAGTAATTCTCTTAAAAGTTGATTAGATATTAGTTTAAAGTTGTTTAGGAAATGTTTTGTTTTTTATTTCTTTTTATTTTTAACATATTAAAACTTTTTAGTAGACAGACAGATGAATTATTCTGAAGTTCAGTTAGTGGGTTAAGTCTGTTCTATGAGTATCTTTGCCTTAAGGTTATCTAGATAGTTTTTATATCACTCAAAATGAAAGACGGAACACCAAAGTCGAGTGCGCGACCATTAGATACCCCTTAATCTGTTAGCCAATTGCAAAGGAATCGCCATCTATTCCTTTTACAACGCCATCTGTTGGTAAACCTTTGAACTACATACTACACATTCATTAATATTTGTCACAAAACTGGTAAAACCTAAGAATTTAAACTATAAAACAGCTCTAGCCACACTCCTTACGTCAATGAACCGCACTGTATGCGATCATTAGTGAATTGCCATCTATACCTTTTACAACGCCATCTGTTGGTAAAACTTTGAACTACATACCACGCATTCATTAATATTTGCCACAGAACTGGTAAAACTTAAGAATTTAAACTAAAAAACAGCTCTAGCCACACTCCTTACGCCAATGAACCGCACTGTATGCGATCATTAGTGAAGTTCCTCGATAATCCCTGTCGATTGGCCTTCATTTGGGTCCTGGGACTTGGCATTCATTCAACTGATTAAACTGTTAGCTTCTTCTTCTTCTTCTTCTTACAGAGCCTGCTGTCTCTTTCAGGCACTTGCGACCCATCTCTTTCGCACTGATTGCGGCTTTGGCTGAAAATGTGTGCAAATAATATTTCGTGTAATTGCAATTAGCGCCAAAAAGGTTTTCACCGCTCACAGCAGCTGCCGAATGGAGCAGTCTAGTGCCTTCTCTTTCGCGCCCACTCCTTGCCTCTCTTTCAGCATTCCATATCAGCTTTTTTTGTATATATATATATCTCTATTTGTTGTTTGCCTTTGCGAGGAAATGCGTCCGTGCGAATTGCGATTTCTTCGATGCTTCAATTACACGGATATGTAGGTTTATGTATGTATGGGCACACCTGGAAAATGTATTTAAGCTGCTTAATGTTAATATTTTATATTAAAAACTAAGTAAGTATATTGGAAATACTCCTTAAATTAGAAGATTACAAAGGATTTTCTTAAGGAAAACCAAGGGAAACTCTAATTTTAAGTGGTTATTAAACTTGAAATCGATTAATCAAAATAATTCCAATATTAAAGGATATATCTAAGTTGCTATTTGATTATTATTATCAACATTATATTTAAAAACTCCTTTTCTTTCTGTGCACACCTACGCCCTGTACCTAGGCTCCAGGAAATCAATGTTTAAAAGGGAAGATGGAACTGCTGCTAACGCCATTTTCCCACAGCCTCCTCCCACCCACTCCTGCTGGCTTGTTAATTTGCCAAAAAAAAAAAAATCAGGAAAAAATCTGAAAAAAAAGATATTGAAGGTGCCAGATCCACAAGCTCAGCCCTCAACCCATCAAGCTTTTCCTCGCCCCCAAAAAGAAAGCAGGCAACAAAGCGACTAAATAAAGGCAAGAAAAACAAAGAGGGAAAACAAAGGGAGAAGTCGAGTAAATGTTCCTTGGGTTCGTGTAAAATAGTTAAAGTTATGAGCCAAAATGGAGCCAAAGAGCAAAATCAACTCACATATACACACGCACACAGTCAGGCACTTGAAGTGCAACAGTGTGCGTTCATGTATGTGGATGTGTGTGTGTGGTGTTTTGGGGCGCGAGTAATTCACATTTCGAGCACGTTTCGCTTTTATGCTCTTAAATGGCGAGTGTATCTGTGCAGGACCTCCACTTCCCACCACATATGCGAGTGTGTGTCTGTGTGTGTGTGAGTTCGCTGTCTGTGGCAAAACGATAATTTTGTTGATGATGCCATGATTATAAGTTTTAGCCTCATCGCAAGAGCTCTCAACTTGCCAGAGGGGAACAATGCCGGCTAGGCCAGCCAGCCAAGAAAGCCAACAGTCCGGATTAGTAACTGCCAAAATACCGACATACCCGTTGTTTGCCCATAAATATTCCAAAATTTCTTATAATTCATCATTATATTCTTCAGTTATGATCAATTTATGGAAAATAAACTAAGAAAATTATATAACAGAAAGAGATTTATGTTGGCTAAGTATGAGGTTGTGACCACAAGCAGAAAGGTGACCCAAAAACTTGATTTTTTTAGAGCAAGTTGCTTGACCAAAAGGCTATCGTCTACCTATGAAAGTTAGCTTACTGCTTAGTAGTTGCCTCTTTTTAGCCCAAAACGAAACTACTTTTTTGATGACTTCCAGAAAGGTGACCCAAAACTTAACTTCCACAGCCTATAACTTGACCAATCTTTACCCGATTTCCAAAGTGGTGTTTGAGAGATAAAAGTTTGTGACTAACTTATCTAGCAATCAATAATAATTTACTGCAATGATTAGTAAGTGTAAAAATGACCTACCTAACCCTAAAAGTCCTTACAGGGTATCACCTGCCGACCAAGCGACCCAGCGACCGTTACCGGGCGTAATCAGGGGTTCAAGTGGCGTGTCTGGCAGCCGCGTATCTGTGCCACATGTATCCGTATCCGTATCTGTATCTATTCCTAAGTAAATTACCCACACACAGTCAGACATTCACACACAAACACCTACACACACACATAGATACAAAGAAGGACTACGGATGCGGTTCACATCCCGTGCGCGTGAATGACCCACATAAATAGCCGCGTGCCTCGACTCCGGCCGGCTCTTTATTGGCACGTACCAAACAAAGCAACGAAAAATAATTCAGAAATCGGAAAGAGTAGAAAAAAAAGGAGTAGAAAGAAAAGTGGGAAAAGCCATTCAACAGTTTCACAGACACATTTTTCATTATGGAACTTGAATTGAATTTCGACTTTGCACCAACGCTGCCGCCGGGCAGCAAATCGTAAGTGGGACGGAATTTGGCCCAAATCGATTGACATGGCCCGAAGGCCTTGTGATCTGCTCAATATTTCATAGGACGCCCTCAAAATGAAGTGACATCTGGACAGGACGAACACAAATACAAGCAAACTTAAGCACACACACATTACAGACACACGCACAAACAGTTATCCGACCAACTGGAGATATGCATCATTAGCAGGGCCATATACGTACGTATACGTAATTTCTTGGCCCCAAAATATTTGTCTAATAAATTGTGTATTTATTGCTTGTGCTCGTAAGTAGCCATAAATTTAGGAACATGACATGGCCAAGTTTCCTCCGTTCTGCTATTGATTTATTATGATTTTTTTTGCCATATCTGCCTCTGCATTGGCGTCATGTCGCCTTACCGAATCTTCCATTTTATGGGCTACGCAAAAACTGGACTAAAACTGAACTGAACTGTTGCATGTTGCTGCGTCTGCTGATGCTGCTGTCGACAGGCACATTAACTGTTTGCTTGCCAGATTTGGCCAGACAATGTGAAAATGTTTACACTGCACTTGCCCGTCAGCTGGTTGGTTTCAGTTTTGTTATTACTGTTGCTCTTACTTGCAATGTTTAACCCTTTTTGGTTATGGTTTTTTGGCCCTTCTTCTTAACGGGGGGAAATGTCTGCACAATCAAGACATCAGCATCAGCGCAACACTTGATGGCCTCTGTCTGGTATCCCGCTGCCAAGTTCACGATGCACAAAAAAACCTAACTAGAGAGTACAAAAAAATTGTGGCAAGGAAGCTACTGAAAACTGCAACTTTTATGGGGCTTCCAAAGTGATTTTTTTAGCTGTTGGTTTTCGTATTTTGTAATTTTAAGGAAATGGGAAAAAGCTTGCCTACTTTTAAGCGGTCTATGAAAAAAGGCTTTAATAAATGGAGTCTTCTTAGTATGAAAAATAATTAATTAAAATGATGAAAAATATTATTATTAAAGCTAGGAAAGGCTTCATTAAAGGCGTTTATCTGCAGTTTAAAACTTTTTCAGGTCATTGACTTTTTATGTGAGATAAAATTGTTTTTATCTTTAGTGTTAGTTCGTTTTTTCTTTAGTCTTTTTAAGAACTTTAAAATAACTTCATTTAATATATTACCTTTACTGTTTCTGCAAATAAAAAAATGTTTTAATTTCCCTAATGGTTCTTAAATTTTTGCAGACCAGCTTGGAAAGCCTCCTCGCAACTGTGGTGAAGGAAACTTGACAAGTTTTTCCTTCAGTTCTTCCAAAAACTTTACCCTCAGGTTAAGCTGCATATGTGTGTGTGTGTGTGTGTGTTCTGAATGTATGTGTGTTGAATGTGTGTGTTGAATGTGTGTGCTTACTTGACGGAGTCGAGAATCGAGAGAGAAACGCTAATGTTGTTTTTGTTGATTCTGCACTCGAATCCGAGAGACGAGGAGCCCTCGTAATGCCCTCGCTATTTATTATTATTTTTGCCAGCACTTAGGGCATTAGGGTGCCAAATTATTTGGAAAAACTGAAGGGATGTGCAACCTGCTCAGCCCCTTACCTCCCCTTGTAACTTCCATTTAGACAAGAGCATTTAGTGGATTTGCATCGTTTTTATATTTTATACTGCCTTCGATATACAATATTTGAAATATTCGCTTAAAACTTAATGCTTAATAATGGATGGAATGATGTAACATAGTCGTGGGTCCGAGCGATAATCAAATTTAAATAGTTAAAAACTATAATTAGGCAAAAAAAAAAATAATAATAATAAAGTATATATGAGAGAAAACCACGAACATGAATACGAGTAAGAGGCTAAAACCTATAATGATAGCATATTCGTTTGGGCATTAAAAATACATTTCTTTTTAGCTTTTTTTTAATTATTATTTTAGTTAATGTGTAGATCAGTCTGTGTGTGCGAGCACTGCTAAACGAAAATCTCTTAAACAAAGGTGTTTCTTTTTTTTTTTTTGTTTATATAAATAATAGTCATAAAATATAGCTAATTAAAAAAAATAATAAATCGTGAGTGGGTTGGTGGTTGTCCTCCTCATCAGGCCAGGCAGAAGAGCTTCCTCCAGAACGAGGGCGTGGGCGGCAGGGTGGTGGGCACTAGGCCCTCCCAAATGGCTGTGTCGAATACATCCTTGACTTTGTCCTGCAAACGAAATAATACGCATATTAATCACTGCCCAATTAAATCAATACAGCTTAGCAAAAAAAAACTTCCTTTGTTTGCATTCTGCTAATTACTACTATTGTCTGGTTGATACTCGTCGTACATGCTTAATTTAGTATTTTACTCTTAATTAACTAAGTATTTGTAAGCTCATTCAGTAGTTGGTTCATTTCAAAGCTAATCTTAGTTGGTTTTTTGGATTCTGTGACTTGTTTATTTGTTAATTATTAACTTATTAGGGGTTAAAATTTAGTGTTTGTTTACTTTTTGGCTATTGATTATCATTTTAGATTATTATCATATTAAAACAGAATTTAATAATTGATATTTAGTACATATTCTTGCCATATTAGTGGCAAACATCTCTTTTGTGATCCTGTAAAGATGAAAGTCTTGAAAAAACCCACAAATTCGGACAGATTTTCCCCTCTGGCGGCAATGCAACTTAATCGCGGTTTTATATAACAGTGTGTGTCTTATTTTCCAGCAACTAGCGAAGCTTTTCCACAACAAATTGTCACCATTCTCGTCGACATCATCATCATCATCATCATCGTCGTCGTCGTTATTATCGTCATACTCATCTGGTTGGCGGTGCCAAGTGCTTTATAATTTGTTGCAATCGCTTCATCTTCGTTGTTGCCTTCTTTTGTCGACTCCTGACTCCCGCCTCTCCACTGGCAAAGGAGAGGAGGCGTGACAAGGGAAGGTGCTACCTTCGGGGAAATCCACGCAAAGTGCAATGCACGGCTGACAGGAGCGACGGCATTCAGTCGGAAGTGTTGGGGCAAACAAGGGGATTCCCATTTCCACATTTCCACTTACCCCATCCCCCCCTCTTAACCACACAATTATGATTATTGTGTGTGTGTCTGTGTGTTCGTATGCCATGTGACAAGGCGACTCAAAAGGATAAAAAGCGAACAGGACCAGGACCACGACCAGCCATTGCCTCCTCCCGCAGGAGGACGCCTCCTTTTGGCTGCGGAATTTGTATTTTTTTTTCTTATTTTCCTGCAGGAGGCTTCTTCTTTCGCCGGATTATCCTGCACACTCTTAAGGGTATGCCCTTTAATAGGTTTATGTTTGTATTTAAGCTTAAGGTCCTTAAGTCTTTCTGTTTACAAGATATTGTTTAGTTTAAGGAGTCAGGTTAGATAGAAATAAGAGAAATATTACAATTTCTTTTCCTTTTAATTAAAAAGCAGATAATAATCTTTTTGCCTAACTTTATAGGGTATCTTTATGTCCATTCGAATATCCACATTTCCCCTGAGCACCTTTTTTTGAAGTGTTTACCCGAGACAGCCGCAGACCCAGAGCAATGACTTGTCTGCCTTTTGGCTTTAATTAATATGAGGTTCTCCTTCCATCTATCAACTAACCACCTCGCTTAACCATTTTCCCCGCCCTTCTGCCAGTGGACGACTCCACACCACTAACAACTCACCTGTGTGGCTGACGAAGTCTCAATGTATTTTGCGCCAATTGTTGTTGCCAAATCCCAGGCGTCTGTATATGAAATTGCTTTCTCGCCATTTGTCTGCAAAGCGGGAAGAAGCGGGAAAACGAAATTAAGTTAGCTCCCAGGCAGATGGAATCAAATAAGAATTTCATAAATATTTGAATCGCAGAGCCAGAGATAAATAATGATTAAGTCCGCCCACAGGCGGCAGCCAAAAACATAAATAAATCAGCTCAAAACGAAGACTTCCAGTCAACACTCCGCACTCCACACTCCACGTCCCACTCACCTGCAGCTTGTTAAGGACATTTGGGCTGGTGCGAAGATCGGCCTGGGTACCGACCAAAATCAGGGCGGCCTTGGTCTTGGCAAACTTCGGTGCCCATTTGGCCTTGATGGCCCGAAACGTTTCCGGCTTCACCACCGAGAAGCAGAGCAGGAAGACATCGCTGTCCGGATAGCAGAGCTCCCTCAACGGATCCAAGGTGTCCTGGCCGGCAGTATCACATATGGTCAGGTGCACTGGACTCTCGTTTACATTGACATCGGCTATAGGGGGAGAAATAAAAGAGAGTTGTTATTCATAAATAAATAAGTTACGAGGTGTTTTAGCCTTAAAAATAGTGAAAAAATCAGCAAGTTTTAAGAAAACCTTAACTTAAGCTTCCAAAAATCAAACAGAAATCTCATTTAATAAGTTAATTAACTTATATAAAGAAAAGTAATGCAAAAAACCCTGAAAGTAGGCAATATATTTCCTAAAACATCAACTAAAAATCAAAATTTTTTCCAAAAAATCAAGATCTTTAGCTTAATCCCTCAATGAGATACCCTTTCCTTTTTGCTTTTCTCACATTTTTATTTCGGAAACGAATCAATTGATTTGTGTGTCTGTCTTTGGTTTGAGTTGTTGGACACACTTTGGCCTGATTTCGGTTCAATTTAATTGAAAAATATGCAAATTACTCTCACTACGGGCCCTTTCTCTTTCGCATCTCTTTGTGATTGCATTTTCCTGTCGGAATTTAATTTCATTTAAAATGCTTTGCCAATCCTTTTGTTGTCTCCTCCACGCAAGTGCAAATTTTTGGCATAGCTCATGCCACACACTCACTCGAAACACACTCTCACACTCAAACACACTCTCTCACACACACATATACACTCTTTTAGTTATAGTGGAAAGCCACACACAGGCATACGTCAGGTGGCACTTAGACTTACACAGAGATATTTATGTAAAAAAAAGCCACCATCAGCCAGAAAAGCTGGAAAATTCGAAATGCCTGAAAATTGGCGAAAATTTCATTTCATTTCGGTCTCTTTTTTGACTTTACTTAGCCAAAAGTAAGCTATTAACAAGGTAAAAAATTGTGAAAGAATTTAAGATTTTTAAACAAATCTCTTAAAAATATCTTAAATTTGTTATTAAAAGTACTCATTTTTTGAAAAAACTAATTAATTAGAAAAGCAAATATTTAGTAAAACTTTCTCGCAAGCTCACTCTGCCATTTACATAACGCGGAATACTCATAAAACCCATTGTGGTCAACTAATTTCCAGCTTAAATTCCAACCAAACAACCGCAAATGCAAATTGCCGGATAAAACAAGGACTAATTATAGTTATGGTAATTAAAAATGTAGAGAAAACAAAGGCGGGTTAAAACTGTTAATAAGTCATCTTTGGTTCTCCCTTCAGTTAATGAGTAGAGTTGTTTAGAGAGCAAAGATAACATCTGCTTAGTTACTAGACTGGATCTTAGCCGGAACAGCGTCAAGTTGAAAATCAAAATCAAAATGAAAATGAAAATGGGGGCATGGGGTGTGGGGGGTGGGGCGTGGGACAGCATCATCAACAATGAAACGTCAGCTAGAGCAAGTGAATTAGTAAAGCGTGTTGGGAAAGCCCTGCGCCATAGCCCACCCACAGCACAGCCACCTACCATGTGTGCAAAGAACATTCATATTTAAACGCTGGCGAAAATGATTTCAATGATGCTCAGGAGAGTGTCGAAGGGGTTTCCCATTTGCCGAGTCTACACAAGGAGAATGGTTTTAGTTTTCTAATAAGTTAAAAAAGAAAGTAACTAATAGAAGGTTAGTTTTCTAATAAGTTAAAAAAGAAAGTAACTAATAGAAGATTAGTTTTCTAATAATTGGAAAAAGAAAGTAACTAATAAAAAGGTTAGATATATAAAATATTAAGAAATATTTTATAGAATTTTTGATTATTTTTCAGAAATGTTTAATTGGATTTCCAAGAAAAATCAACTATTAAGATCTTGATCAAAAAATATTAAGAAAGTTTTTAGAACTTTGCCCAAAAAAGCAAGAAATATACTTAAATTATTTATAAAAATATAACTATAGCTTAAAAAGATTATTTATGGAAAAAGAAACCCTTGAAAGCTGTCTTTTGTAAAACTTAAATTAAAAACTCTATTAAAGTGGCAACTATTAGTATCAATGTTCCATGATTATTCCCTGATTTGGACTTAGGATAATATACTATATATATATAGGAAATATCATCCTAAAAAACCATCTTCCTAGTCATTTCTATCAAAGTTCCTTTTAACTTGTTAATTCTTTTCAGTGTGCTGAGGCTTGGCTTGTTTTTACACGCCCCGTCAAGCAGATTTGACCTCGCGCTCACCCAGCCTGCCGATCTCTCACACCCCACACATCCTACATCCTAGATCCACAGCCAACAACCAACATGCCACATACAACATTCAGCGTTCAACGTTCAACCGTTCAACGTTCACCCCGCGGACTGTGTCCATGTCCTATCTAAAAGTTAATCATGGCAACCTTTCATTCAATGCAGCCTCCTCCGACTGTTTGGCCTGCGTAAATAAAGTTGCCCGGCCGCCCTGCTCGGGGATTTTTAATCAGCCTGCCGCATGCAGCACGTACTAGGTTGCAGGTTGCAGCTAGCAGGGTAGCAGGGTAGCAGGTGGCTGGTGGCTGGTTTTCAGTTGCAGCGAAGGTCGCCAGAGCCAGGGCTCATGTAAAATAAATTTAATTTGTGCAGCGTATGAAATTCATGAATACATTTTCAGGGCAACGAAAGGCTGACGTTGATGTGACTTCATCTGTGGCCTAAAACCCTCGTCTTTTGGTTTAATGGAGCTCAACAAAAAACGTCCACCTCATTTCACTTTGGTGCTGGTGAATTTTCCGGCCCATGGGCATGCCATCTCCCCTTTTGACCAGAGAATTCTTTCAGCTAGTTTATTAAAGTAAACTAAAGTCCAGTCTATTCATCATTTTCTCTCTTAAAGTTTTCTAGTGAAATCCAAAAGCTAAACCCTTTTCTTGGCTTATCTTCTCATTATTAAATTTCGGAAAATTTAGCCATTTTCTGCATTTTCTTCACCTGACAAATAACAGTGGGAAAAGTCCCAATCACTTTTCATCATTTCATTGTGCAATTTCCTTGGAACGGGCTCATTGTTGCTTTATTAGTTACCCGCCCGTATTTCTTGGCATTTTCTAGCTGCCAAAAAGTGTAAAAGTGGAAATCAATGCCGGAATACACAGGGCCCATTCAATGCCATTCCCTTTTCTTTTTTCCTTTTGCTTTCCACAAAAGGGAAATTGTTTGCCAGCTCAGCTGAAAATCGCTTTACGCGATGGAGAACAAAAACAGTGAACTGAACTGGAGAGTGAAGTGAGCGATTCTCCGGGAGAGTGCTTCGAAAAGGAAAGCCAGACAATGGTTGAGGTCGGGACAAAAGGCGAGCGAGCATCGTTAGCGGTTGAGGGAAAACTGCCAAGGAAAACCACCCCCCCACCCAGCCACACCCCTCCCTCCACATATGTTCAAGTGAGCAATTGTGTAATTGTGAGCCAAGAAGTCAGCTGAGCTCTTTCTGCTTCCTGCTGACTCAACCTTATTGACACCTAATTGAGCCGCCGTCCTCCTACTCCTTCTTCCTTTTTTTCTGCCAGCATTTGTCACAGATTAGGGGATCTACGTTAGTATGTGTCCCTCATCCTTATCCCTAGATAAATTCAACAATTTGACGCACTTAGAGCCAGTCAATTAGCCAACCTTCTGCCCTAATTAGTTGCCAAAACTTATGCCTAATGGCCGGAGAACTATGCCAAAGACTTGGGCCCCTGGCAAAATATGCAAGGAAAAAAAAGAAGATGGCAAGGCAAGCACAAGTGCACATTCAGGAGAGAGAGAGAGTCTAGAGGGGGGAAAGCTTGAAATTCCACGGAAAGTTGAGAGCCAGCTATGCCCGGTATTCACAGACCCGGCCAATTGTTGCTAAAAGCCAGGCCAGGGGGGACACACGGCGTATGCGTAATTTCATTCTTAACAAACGACAAAACCGGGACAAAAGCAGCTGGTGTAGCCAAACCCCTGGCTAAAAAAGTGACATCCCTGGCATTTTAGGGCAAATGAAATGTTTCAAATACAATTCCCCACCCCCCTCACTCTAAGCCCAAACCAAAAATAAAGCTGCAATCCTGGCATTTCGCTCAACTCGAAAAAGGGGATTCAATTAGCAGGACAGGCAAACGGGCAATTGTCGATGGCCTGGTATATTTCTTTTTGTACTCATAGGCAAAAATGTCGAGCAACAATTTTGAATTGGTTAACAAGCTAAAAGAAATCAAACAACGAAGGGAACAAATATGGGAATTTTCATTTTCAAAAAGGCAAAGGCCTCTCAAGAAGATCTTTTTGAGTTATTTTCTGTGGCAAAGTTATAAAAAAGTTAAAAAAAATATATTAAAATAAATGAAATGAACTTACAAACTCAAAAAGAGGAAGAGAAATAGAAAGATTATACACAAAAATGAAGGTTATTTGGTCACAGACATGAACTTTCAAAACATTGCCATCCTTTTTATAAGAAAAAGAAAAACAAAACTAACCTCCTACCACACTTTCCACCAATCAAAAAGCAACAAAAAATATCAAAATAATTCAAGCAAAAATTTTAAAAATAAATTCCATTGATTTTATAACCTAATAGGGGTCTAAATCTTTAATAAACCATCCAAAAACCACATCAACTTTAAATTTCCCCACAAAGAGAGCCATCAAATATTGAAAAAGCCTTGCCAAAATACCAAATAATGGTTGGAAATTTGCCTGCAACTCAGTGTAGTACACCTAGTTGAATCTGTTGAATTATTCCACGATTATCTGCAGGGCGAATTTGGCCAGGACTCACTCTCCTTTCTCCTTTATCCTGCACACACACACTCAACCGACTGACTGACTGACTGACAGGAAACACAATTTTTGGGGAAGCTAGCGAGCGTGCAGAGAAGTGCAAATTCATGCAAAATTTTATTAAAATCAGCCCCTGGGGCCCGGCGAGGGGTTAAACTGGCTGCCGGCAGTCTCGAGTGCCAGACACGCTGGTTAAGGGATAAGGGTTAACTGAGAGAGGTGCGAGGAGGGGTGGTCTTTGGGCTAAGCATAATTCAATCAATTGCACATGGAAGGAGGTGTGGGGGGGGCAAAAAAAAAATACTGGGAATCCACCTCCCCGAAAACAAAGTCAAGTTTTCACATTTTGTGCTTCTGTTGAATAGCCGCAAATTTCAATTTTCCGTTCATTAAAATTCGTGAATAGTACAAAACACACACACACACATCTGAAAAACTGTAACCCCAACGAAATTCAGATGTTGGAACATCCGCCCACCGCTGGCACATCCTTCACACGGAAAACGGAAAACGGAAAACTCGGGTAAAGATTTCACAAATTGGTTTTCAACAAAATGAAAAATTCATATACGTGCACCAAGCACCAAGGGCCCAATCCACAACCAACTCTCCTTTAATCGAAACGAAGGCCGCAGAGGTCGAGCCATAAAGTACAAAAAAGAAAAAAAAGATTCGAGAAGGATTCGAGGCCGTTTAAGAAACGGAGGCCCTCTGAGTGGCGAGACCTGTTGAAGGGGCGCCGTCAACGCTGAACTCACCATTATAAATGTCTGAGGCTGTGGGTATGTGCTCCGGATTGAATCGGTTCTCCAGATACGAAAGGATCAGGTTAGTCTTGCCCACGGCTCCATCGCCCACCAGGACGCACTTGATCGAAGGCTGTGTCGGGGTGACATCTGTTAAGAACATAAAAATGTTATATTAAATTAAATATATTAATTAATTTAATAAATAGTTTTTTATTTATTTTTTATTTTTATTTTTATTTTATTATTTATTTATTTTTAGTTAAATTTCTTAATCTTATTCAGGTGTCCCTCATGTCCCTCATAAAGCTTCCTGAAAGTATGCAGTAAAAACGAACGCTTTTAATAAATCATTGCATACTTATAGAAACCTTAAGATCCTGGCGTTAGATTTCAGTGATTTTTCATTATTATTTTAGTATTTCTTTATTATTCATTATTATTTTTTATTATTAGTTATTATTATTTAATTGGCATTTATTTAGTATTTTTTCTAGTATGTTTTAAACTGTTAATAAAAATTATAAGCTTAAAATTAATAATTTAATAATTAACTCAAAGTTTAAATCAAAAATAGATTTTTATAATTAACCCTCTTATGACCCAATTCCATAAACAACAACCATCTGTAAACGGCAATCAAAATAAATCTCGGTAGGCGAGTAAACTTCTTCTTCCTTGGCGAAAGTTTCGCTGGAATAACCTTAAATTGGTAACAACTTACCCTTTTTGCCACCCTTTTTGGCCGACGTTGCGGCCTCAGCTGTTGCCGCTCTTGCTGTTGCTGCTGCTGCGGCTGCTGTTGCTGCGGTTGTCTTCTTTGATTTACGCTTACGCAATAAGAATTTGGAGCCCTTGCCACTGCTGGCGGCACTGGTGTCGCTCAGCGATTGTTGCTACAAAAAACAAGAGAAAAAAAACAATCAATTTTAAATACAAATTTAAGTGAATTTGAACTTAGAACTATGTATATTTAATATTTATACTGAAAATTGTCTGCATTTCCCTCGGATGCATTTAGATTTCCATCAAAATTTGATTATTTTCGAGCCGCATTGCGCATACGCCGGGTGTGCCTTAGAAATTTGCCAAGAGTGGCAATTAAATAATGAAAGCCAACAGATTGAAGCAGCTGTGTGTGTGAGTGTGTGTGAGCAAGTGTGTGTGTATAGGTGTTAGCCATTTGGGGCGGTCCTTTCGGTTGTTAAAACGAGAGAAAGAGAGGGTGTGAACTAATGCCTAGCGCGACACTTTTGCCTCGCCCGACTAATTTAATATGCACATATAAATTAGTCAAGAAGACAGCAGCTGCTCTTCGGTGTGGAGAAAGTGGCAGATGAACATGGGGGAAACCAAGAGAAAAGCGGAGAAAGGAATGGAAATGGAAATGGAAATGGAATGACTGACAGGCGAATAAAAATAGCTGGCAATGTTGCAACACCGGAATTGAAGACATCTTCTTGATTTCTGAGGCACAGTGAGGTAAAATTGCGTATACGCCACCGACAGGTCTCTCAGGGCTCTAAACTTCTGTAACTTCAATTGCTGTAGTCTACACTCTGGGTTGTTCCTCTTAACTTTGAAGGACAATTTGCACCTTCTTGGAATATGTCACTGGAAAATTTTTGATTTATTCTATATTAAATTCTGGTCTTTCCCAGAAATATCCTTTGATAAATATTCCAAATTTGTTCTCCCCTTTAAAATGAAATAAATATTTCAATCTTTGGCCATTTACCAAACTTTTCATTTCATTACCAATTTAAGATCAAATTGCGTATACGCCAGGCAAGGCCTTTACTCATTTCACATTTATCCAGCATTTTCCTTCACTTACCAAAAATACATTTTAAGCTTGCTCCTTGGAATTTCTCACTTCACATGGACAGAGTTTTCCTTTCATTACTTCTCAATTTACCATTCAGCTTTTATTTTATCGGTTTTTATTTTTTGTTGGCCAGCAATTATGGCACTAGCCGAGTGAATAAATATCCAGCATGTTTGATTTATTCAGTGAGCAGGGCAAGGGCAAATATACGCCCTCTCTCTCCTTTTCTCTTTATTTATTTTTTGCAAGAATTTAACAATTTAATTTACGAGCAACAGTTTGCAATTATTACTATTTGCTTTTTGTTTTTGATTAAATCAAATCGTTTTATGGCCAACAAAATCTGCACTTGAATTAATAATGGAACTTAAACTAGTAGCTGGACTTGAAGTTACCCTTGATTATATTTTATATACATCAAATATAAGGTTTTAAGAGTAAGAAATTGTAAGTTTATAGGCCACTCATTGATAGGTTTTCCTTTAATTTACTTTATATTTATCAAACTTATCTACCCTTTACACCCTTTTACAACTTTGCCGCTTCAGCAAACTCTGTCATTTTTTCCACTACCTTAATTTATATATTTAACTTTTTGCATAGCCAACGAGCCCCATAAATTATACATAAATGAAGTGGCCTAAAAAACGAGTTAAATAGTTAAGCTTTAAGCGGCATTCAGTTTGTTTATTAATGGGTTAATATTAGCTGCTAATGTTGGGGGATTTACGCTTATCAATCATTGTTTGATTGCCAATTGCAAGGACAACTTATCGAAGGCAGGAAAAGCCAAGGAGTCTATATACACCTTCCTTCCTGTTTTCCCCAATATTGTTCTCGTTCAAGTGGGAAAACATATTTGCCAGACGCTATCTAAATCAATATCTAAATTGCTCTGCGTTTTGTCGTTGTCAACTTGAGGAGGTCGTCTCTCCTTTGGCTTTTCCTCTCCAGGCCTTTCCATCCTTCGCTTGCCGCTTTTCCGCTTGTTAGGCGATAATATCGCATACAAGCACACGAATGTGAAACTTTAAGTTGGGGTGGAATTTTTTGGGGAAAGGAAAGCGAGAAAAGCGAGAGCTCGAAATAAAAATACACACAATCGATGGCAGTGAGGCCAAAAAGGTTTGACCTTTTAGGGAAATTGAAAAGAATTATATAGAATATATATATAATCATTCAATCTGGCAATCTGGCAATTAACCTTTAAATAACAAATTACTACTTATGCACTCTCCCTTTACCTTTATTTTCACTAGTTTTCCGGGTTTGGGTTCGAAGGCGTTTTCCTTATGGCTTTCATCCAACTTTTCCGGCGCCTTATTCACAGCTCTCAATCAACAAAAATAATAATAAAGCACAGGATTTAGCCAGCTTTCTTTCAAATTAAATTAAAACGTCTGTCTCCGGCTCCCTTTCACTTAACTTCTTCCTGCTCCTCCTCCTCCTTAAGCTGACTAAAAATAATTCCCTTATTTTTTTGGCCATTTTTGGTACATAAAACCGAAAGTCAAAGCCGAAAGCCAAGTTTCTCCTCTTGACAGCAACTTTGCTGGCAGCCAGAAAAGAAGGAAACTTTGCCATGTGCGTCTTAAACTAAATAAACCCCCCGGAAAAACGTTAAGGGCCGTTCGGTCATGTCAGAAAACCCCACTTTTCCCGTGGGCTAGCGCAAAAAAGGAAAAACTTCTTCTGGCTCCTGGTCCTGCTCCTGCTCCTGGTCTTTTTGGTCGGTCATCGTAAATATGCAACTTTTTAATAATTTCATTTTGGCCATCGCTTTCCTCTCTCTCTCTCTCTGCCACTCTCTTTACTGGTTTTACTTATGTACTTATAATTTTATTTCGAAATGGTTCCACACTGTTTTTTTCCCGTTGAGTTAAAAGTTTGACGCCTTAACCCTTGACTGCCAGCCAAGGCATGTTTTGTCCCTCGGGGACCCCCCCTTAACTTGAGTCAAATAATTGTTGAAAAAATATTGCCTGCCTCTCAGCGGGCTGTGGCAATGTAAATAATATTTTTTCTCTTAACCGAAAAACTTTTTCTCCCAGCCTCCGATTGGTAGTTGAGTTGGGGGGGAGGCGGCGGCTGATTTTAAGAAAACTCCAGCAGAGACAAGAAGTAACTTTAGAGAGCTGCAATTGCAGCCACAATAAGGATTAAATAAATCAAAGCTGGTGGAAGGGAGGGTAGAGAACTCCTTGCTGCCCGGAAAAGGCAAGCAACTGCTGGCTTTATTCAGAAAGTTACTTCAGCACAAAGTTAACCACGCAAAACCAGCCAATAAAAATGTTAACAGACAAAGGGAATATATGCAGATAAAGGCTAAGAAAATACCAAAAATGGCTAAAGAAGTAACTTTGTTAGTATTAAAAATAAACCTTTATCTTATAAGGAAAATCAAAGAAAATAACCTTAAAGCAGCTGCTCAATAAATCCAAGAAAATCTAAGATTAAGCCTGTAGTCTGTGCTGGCCAAGTGTTGTAACCTTTCGGCCGACATTCGTGTTGTCATCCGGCCTTTCTTGGCCATTAAAAGTTTTTGTTTTGGCCAGCTTGTAAATCATGCTTAAAACACAAGGACAAGGCCACTTCGGTGGGTGGTGTTGGAGGGCAGTAAACTTGAAAAATGGGTCAAAGTTTTCTATGCATACGAAATGAAAATGGAAAACAAGACAAATATATTTTTTTAGCAGGCAAATAAAGCAGAAAAAACCTGTCGTCTATATGGCCAATGTTTATTTTTCTACACTTTGCTACAAAAATATTGAAAGAGAAGGAGAGAGAGAGAAAGAAACGTAAGAAAACTGTTGACAGCCGCCGCATGAATTGTAATTTACATGTTTTGGCAAAAGAAAGAGATGGCCATGGAAGATAAGAAAGAGAGAGAGAAAGATCGATTGGCGGGAAAAGTGCTAAAGCTTCTTAAATTCCCCTTTTCTTTTCAAAATAAAAAAACAAAAACACTCAACTCAACTTTTCAAGGGAAAAAGCGTTTATAATTTGTGTTAAATATATTAGAAAAATGTTTTTCAGAGGGGGAAAACCAGCTGCTGGCCCCAAACATCTCAATCGAAATTGATGGAATTATTATTTATGGATTATGATTGGGAATACTCTAGATTATTGTCACACTCAATTGGGTTGAAATGGAAACTGAAATAAACCAAAAAGTTCTTCTTCGCATGTAAAGTTCGGAGATGGAAATCAAAATTTGCCTTCAATTAAAATGTAAATTTGATTTTTGGTGGCCTGGATTTTGGTATTTTTACTTTCCAACGCAAACCAAAATATTCGCCAGCATTTCGACAGCATTTTGACAGATGATATTTACGGAATAGTTTACGCTTTTCATTTTTCGGCATTTGGCAATATTTTGCGAGTCGTAAACTGGAAGCGAAATTACTACTGGCCCCGTGCTGTTCGTGATTTTAAAAATTCTAATTTGATGGCTTTGTGCTCTCTCGTCTACTTATGAAACGCAAAGTGTGTTTGTTTTTGCCAGGCAAGTTTATTGGTAACCTCGTTTTGTTTTTGTTTCTGTTTCTGTTTTTTTTTGTTGCCTTTGTTTTGATGCAACAGCAGTGGCAGCGGCAGCAGCAGCGGCAGCAACAACTAATAAAATTGCGGTCTATTTAATGGCATGCCACTTATTGCCTCAAAAGCACAGAGAAGATGGAAGCGGGGGGTTTCGGGGGCGTGGCAGCGGTTACTACTAAAAGCATAACCGCAAAACCGAAACTAAACAGCAGAGCAACAATTCCAACGAGCCAAATTGTTGTACGCCAAAATGGACATGAAATTAGTTTCTATTTCTGGCCAGAAACTCCTGGCCGAAAAGTCAGGGTGGTGGAAAATTCAAAGGGGGGAGGGACGTGATAATATTATTATTACGCAATGGTTGCAGGGAGCGGCCAATGATGGGGAGGAAAAGCTTTGAGTGCTTGTAAATCAGGTTTTACCTGCAATTTAATCATAAATTTTGAATTTAATTTTTTAAATATTTTCTTAGATTTTCCATAAACCTATTTAAGACATAGCTGAGAGACTGCTGAAAGCGAAAGAGCA